GCCAGGTCAGCAGGTCAATCAATATCATCAATGGGTGCACGTCAGCAATGTATGCTGAAGTCGTAGTACCAGCCTGCCACAAAGTCGAAGTTCCAACCTGCCACGTGTATCCCCTGGAGTGCCAACTCAGCAGCAATTCTGTCTGCCAGGTCAGCACCAAGGTCCAGTCAGCATCGAGGGAATACACGTCAGGAGCAGTACCAATGTGCCACGTAAGCCAGGTAGCGGAATATGACACTGCCACGTATTTCACTGAATGATGAGTCAGCAATGCCACATCATCAATCTGCTATCATCCACCGGTCACGTCAGAGTTACAATGCCACGTCAATGCCGCGTCAGCATTGGACATGTGTACCAAGGCCACGTCAATGCCACGTCAATGCCATGTCAGCATCGGACATGTGTACCAAGGTCACGTCAATGCCACGTCAACATCGGACATGTGTACCAAGGCCACCTCAATGCCACGTCAATGCCATGTCAGCATTGGACATGTGTACCAAGGTCACGTCAATGCCACATCGATGCCACGTCAGGATCTTCAATGTAGATGCCACCACTTGTCGTTGTCGTCCCTGTCACAAGATCGGAAGATCTGCTCTGATACCAAATTGCAATGAGCCCAGACGTGATGATACTCGTCATATTACCAGTCCATATGATTATCGATCTGCTGATGAATGACAAATAATCGCAAATGTGTGTGATGATAGAATGAGGTGAGAATCATACACAGACGAAGGAGGAGAGAGGGAGAATAGACAAAAGTGAGAGAAGAAGACAACAGCCCACTTCTWCTTCGGGTTCCTCCTCCTCCTCGCCACCTCATCAATCAATAGACTGAATACAATGTCTGAAGTTCTTCCTCAAGGTGCCACGTGACACGTCAATCTGTCTACATCAGCAAATGGAGAGTATCGTCATCAGCCAGGTACGTATCCTCGATAACTACAGTCTTGATCCCCTTCCGAAGTGACGAAGAATCAGAACAGCCTCATCAATCTCACAGCCCGCCACGTCAGCAATCATATACAGGTGGCAGCGGCCACGTCAGCAACGGCGCATGGCAGCTGCCACGTCAGCATGCCCAGAAGACCATCGCCAGCCAGCACCTTACCAGCCAGCAGCGCCTTGCCGTCCTCCCCTGCCAGCATAGAGCCGGCGTCAAGCCAATGTCGCAATGTCGCAGCATAGCAACAGCGTCAAAGTCCACGCGTGAAGTCATCATTCACGCAAGACTGAATCTCCACCAGCCAGGAAGTCAACTCTTAAATAGCGTGGATGCGGGGTCTGGACCCCGGGTACTGAGGTCCTGCACCGTCCAGATCTCGATATGAATGAGGGCCCAGATCGGCCAGAAACTGTATTTCTCCCGCCCTGAATGCTGTCTGGGTACCTGCACACAACAAGTGAATGTATCCGACCATAGGCCTGGGTGCGGTACCTTTGACTCTACAGTTGTCTTTGACTGTTGAATTTCCCTTGTGCTGCGTTTGGTCACACAGCCTCCTCGACAGACTCAGGCTGGGCATGTCTCGGTCTCATAGCCCAGCACAGACAACTGAGTCTGTGTCTTACCGGGGGCAAAGTTCTGAGCCCCGGTCTGCTGCTGAACAGGGTTACTGCAGCTTCACTTGTTTTATTAAAAAAAAAAAAAAAGACCCTAGCACAGAATGGGATAGAATCATAGGACATATAGGGAACGTTTGAGCGATGATGCAGGATGTGTACCTGCTGATCTCCCCTTTATGCAGGAAGACAAGGATCAGAAAAACAAAAAAGAGAGAACTAGAGAAGAGCCAAGTGGAAGAAATGTGTACACATCAAATCATAGGAGAAAACAGAGAGGCATGCGGTGCTTTTCTGGAGAGGCTCACATCAAGGGCAACATAGGTGGCCATTTTTAGCAGTTCATCCTCTCTGACTGGGAGTAATCGATTATGCCTAGTTGATGTTCTGGAATTACATTTGCAACATTTAAGGTTTGTGGTATCTATGGGACGCTGGACCCGGTTCCCAGCGGGTGCAGCTTCCCACCAATGGGTTGGAGTATGTTTGCAAAAAAAAAAAAAAAAAAAAAAAAAAAAAGTGAGACAAGCAGAATACAGTTTTAGAACTCGCAACACATTTGCTCACGGGCTGCAAGGCAGTCGAAAGCAAATGGTTCTGCAATTAACTTGGCAAACGGTTCTGCAATCAACTTGAATTAAGTGATGTTTGAAAGCTTAAAAAAAAAAAAGAGGTGATGTTAGAAAGCAAACAGTTTGTGGATGGCCCTTGGCTCAGTGGTTAGTGCACCGGTTGGAAATGCGCATTGTGGTATGAGGTTCCGGGTTCAAAACTCCGTTGCCTCGCGCACGTACACCCGCAGCGCTTTCATAGCGCACAAGCCATTCACACGCTCCCCTTGGGCTGATGCATGGTGATTGTTACAGACTGCCTGCGCATTACCCAAGGGGTTTAGTCCATCGTTGTAGTATGCTGGTCGCAGGGCCTTGGGGGAGGGCTGTTTGAGTGGTTGGCCTTGGGGTGGTCCGACGTGTGTGTGTGTGTGTGTGTGTGTGTGTGTGTGTATGTGTGTGGGTGTGTGTGTGTGAGAAAAAATGCACCACAACAGCCCCTATTCCATCCAGACGAGTAGATACGAGTTGAGCCAGCTTAACAATTAAAGAATTTCACCTCTTTAGCAAGCAACATGAATCATAATAAAAGTGTTTGCAACTGTGTTTAGCTGGGGTTTCTTCGGGGCAACAGCTCCTCTTTTACTATGCCTCACACGTACAAGGCTGCCCATGTTGATGGTGGTTGAGCGGCAACTGCCCGCATCCCCGTGTGCCTTAACGGCCCACTTGCACGTTATAACAGGAGGCAGAGTAAAAGGGAAGGTACGCTCCTGTGCAATTCTCTTCAGATCTTCATACTACTGTTCATTTCACGTCAGATCTTCAGCTTATACTTGGTCTTTGTGTCTGTCCTTCATCTTCATACTTCCATTCATTTCACTCCCTATCTTCATATCGTCTGTTTTCTCAACGATGCTCATTCGTATGTATTTGGTAGTAGCACAAAAGGGGAGGGTGGAAGGGAGGTGGAGGGAAAGGGATAGAAGACGGAGTTCTATAAGAGTTTGGGGTAGGGGGAGGTGGAGGGTAAAGGGCAGGAAGGAAACATGAGAAGGGCAGGATAGGGTATGACATGCAAAGGGCAAGGGAGGGGTGTATGACGAACTTCGCAGAATTCTAAACACGCACCGCTGGAACAGACTACTCTAGAATGGCACAGGGTTGCAAAAACATATTTTCTGGTTGAGGAGCAGTTATTGCCTATGGTAAGTGGCCACCCCTACAGACCGGACAGGACTGGTTCCAGTTGGACTATGGAAGCACCGCATCCAATTTTCGCAGTCGCAATTGCTGCATCGAATGGCACGGTGCAGACAGATGTCACAGGCTACATGGCTCCTACATGCTAGGAACACAGAGGCACGTTGACCACAATTGAAGAGGCATTGTCGTTCCAGCCCCTGTCTACAGATTGGAGATGATATGTCAGGGTGCCGTACATGAGTACAGTACTGACTGTCGTTATAAGTATGGAAGCAAAAACTTGCATGGGCAACACAAGGCATGCGAACCAGGTGCTAGTTGAATCTCCAGCAGGTCATCACAAAGCTGCATGGAGCATCTCTCTTGGGTTTCCTCAGTATTCATTCCTTCTCTATGGGCAGACGACGACAGGGAGTATCGGTCCAAAGCAAGGGTGTTCAGCTGCTGCAGGATTTGGCCCACAACAGCTCCGCAGCTCGCCCTGGTGGTCGCTCCATGGGTGCTTCATATTGAAGTCTATTTTCCTCCTCAGGCTGCTGTGTGTGTGTGTGTGTGTGTGTGTGTGTGTGTGGGTTGTGTAGTGTGTGGTCCAATGATCTCTGGGTCATGTCTCGTGTCTCACCATGGGTGGGGCAGAGGAGGTAGGTTGGGTAGAGGTATAGATTGGGTTAGGTAGGAATTTATGTAGAGATGTGGGCCTGTCTGTGCGGCGCCTTGTTCGTATGCAGTGCTGTGGGTGTGTCATGGGTGTGTCTGGGTACTGTGGTAGTTTCCGGCCTCATGGTACACTTGCAAGAGTCCATACTTACATTGTATGATCCTGGTCGTGGTCTGGCTCCGCTCCACTCTCTACACACCCCTTGAGTAGTAGTAAGGGTTAGGTGTTAGGCATATACGATTCCCAAGGGTGGGCCTCATGTCTATCTTACGATGCTTGTGGGCTGGGCTTCATCCGGGCTGGTACCTGTCTGCGCTCCCATTGAGGGGGTCGATTGGGGCGTGAATCTGGGGAAGGGTCTCTGGGTAGAGGTCTCATCTTAGGCAGGGGAGGGTGGGTCATCGCATTGATAGTAGAAGGGTTGCAAACACCCATAGAGTCTGCTAGATGTGATACAGGTGGGGAATGGCCACATATCCGTGACCCCACCTGTGTCCAGGTCGTCCCCAAGAACTCGGGGTGTCCCTGTGGTAGCGTCCGGGGAGGGCTCATCCGAGACCCTTCGAAGACGCAGGTTGGTGTAGGTCTAGGTCTAGAAACAGGTCTGGGTCGCACCGCTGTAGAGCTCGACTTGCGACCTGGGACCCTTGGAATGATGCCCCCTGGAGGAGACTGCCCTTGGGGCTGTCACAAGCCATCTGATCTCCCCACTGGTCGAGTACAACGACAGGCACCTACCGAGGCCTAGCATGCAGCCTCTACTACGATCTGGTCTTGAAAAAAAAAAAGAAAAAGAAAAAAAAAAAAGAAGAAGAAGAAGAAAGCAAACGGTTCTGCAATTATCTTGAATTAACTTCAATTAAGTGTTGTTATGGCCTCTGTTTTTATGTCATCCACTCATAGTTACCCTCAACGACACAATTAATTTGTGTGTTTTGGAAGCAGAAAAATGAAGGAAGAAGGGGGAAAGGGGATGTCAGGAACAACACCTGGGAGCTTCATCCACTAATCACCTGTCATGTGTGTTCGCCTGAAATCTGTTGAGCGCAAATGGAGCCATCCCGGTGGGTCTAAAGGCTCCACTGGGAGATCCAGTAGTTCTCCATAATGCCGCCGTAACGTTTGGCCAAGCTCGCGAGCCTGTTCTGCTCCTGGATAATGAAACATTACATTGCAATGCCATAACAATTGATCAGCGCGTTTCCAAAAAGAATGAGAACAGCTCCTTTGTCCCTTCCTCAGCAGCCTGTTACCGCCGATTACTGACCAGGACCAGAAGAGGCGAAGCATCTGGCAGCCTGTGTTGACAGGCTGAGGGGAAGGCCTTCAGATCTGTTTTCCAGGGGTATGTATTGTATTTGTATTATATAAAAATACTATACAGACTTGAATACAATGCCATGCATCTCACTTCACTCATGAGCAAACTCAATCCTTCTCCGGCAAACGTCATATATGCATGTATCCCGTAATCTGGCGAAATAATTATAAAATAAGTCGTCTGTATACGTGATCCTGTGGGCACGAGAGCGTTTTCTTTTCTTCTCTTTTCTTCTCTTCTCTTCTCCCCTCTCCTCTCCTCTCCTCTCCTCTCCTCTCCTCTTTTTCCTTGGGCCTCTCACTTTCTTTTCTTCTCTTCTCTTCTCTTCTCTTCTCTTTTCTTCTCTCCTCTCCTCTCCTTTTCTCTCCCCTCCTCTTTGCTTTTCTTTTCCTTTGGCCTCTCACTCACTCGATATGCGGAAATGTTTGGTAGAACCTTGCGTGGTGGGTAGCTTCTCTGGGGCGGATGCGTTATCTGGGGCGCTTACACAGTAATGTTTAAGGCAAATCTGGCTATATGCTGAAATCTGTGAGTATCCGATATGAATGCGTTGGTGCGTACAATCAGCCGGGAAGGAAGTCTAAGTATGACCGCAAAGCCTCAACAACTGCACGCCAGACGTCCCAAGCATATGAGATGGGGATGATGGTACAGTCTGAACTTCTAGGTGACTGGAAGTTCAAGCGTTTCGTTGGTGTTTCAAATTTTACCCAGGTCTAGCATGAACGTGATTTAGCCAAATTTTATACCTATCCACCCACTGGCTCTCACGAAAGTTATAACCCTTCAGTACGACTGCAATCATGGCAATGTCATGTGACAGTATTGGAAGGTAAAATATCTGCGAGAATTCGTTTGTCTTTGAGGCAAGTACGTTCATGTCACCTCAGAGTATCAAATGGGCAAAAAAAACACGCAGCGCCAAAGAAAACCGTGCTGAGTTCAAAAAGGCAACGGAAGTACCGATGGCCACGGTGTCAGATCGGGTGTCATATTTACAGGGGTCAGCCATGACGTCAGACGGGGAAACAAAAAAAAAAGAAAATGGCCAACGGATACTTTTGGACCGAAATTGCTCATTTCAAGTTGGTGCATGGCTCTTTGCCGGCGCTTGTTTTTTTTGCCTTTAGGGTTTCAAAACATGCCGCGTCCACCAGTATTTCTTTTTTTTGGTTTTGAAAGGGCAACGGCCTTGAGATATCGTCATTGAGCTGACCCGCCCCAGGTAATTCTGGAGTATAATCCGAGTATTTGGTTTCATTGAACTAGCTCCATCATCTGGATTCGAACTTGCGTCTGTATTTCAACAGTTCATCGGTGGGGTGTGAGCTAGGCTGGTTGGTACATCTCTGTTAGAATTTGAATTTACCAGGGTCTAACATAGACATGATTTATCCACGCTGCAGACAACCCAGTCCTGGTCCCAGGGTTCCAAAGTATCCCAGTCCCGGGCTGTCCCAGTAGGGTAGGTCGTAGGGTCCTGAGGCCGAAACGTCGTTGGCCGTGAGGTGTCCGTACCGAGACGTCATACGTCGGTAGGAGTCCGTCCGGTACCTGACAAGAAAAGTTCAGTCCAGTCCAACAGTCCCAAGCCCAGAAATTTGCAGCATGTCCCATTAAAGTCCGGAAGCTAGCGGACGGACAAAAGGTTTGCAGCAGACAGGCCGCGGTCAACCGGTACCGGTCTGAAACAGGCCAAGCCAAGTCAAGTCCTATATTTAGCTGCTACAGTGCAGCTGCTCATCCCTTGTTCAATTGCAAGATGTGGAAGCGCTGCTGCTGCTTGTGTGTTAAGGCAACTTGGGCACTTCGCTCCTGAAGAGGAAGGGGGTAACGCCATGATAATGAAACTCATATCTTCTTCTTCTTCTTGATGATCCATTGCGTGTTATTTATCTCAAAACATTCTGAGGGAAAGTTTCAGGTCGGTTACGGTATGGGGTTGAATGTAGGGTGACTCTGGCTGTAGAACTTTAATAGAAGGAGGTCTTTAGGGGTTCGAGTAGGATGCAGGAGAGCAGGGGGATAATAGCGGTGATGGCAAAAGATGAGACAGTCTGTCTTCATGCTTATCTTAGCAGCAGGGCCTATTGCTGCCTGAGCAAACGGTGCTACAGCAATGAGCTACCTGATGATTCCATGCCTGCAGGTCCAACTTTTTGTTGTTGTTTTTTTTCCTCGATTCATGCAAGGGGCCATGCTAATCTTCTCTGTATCATTCCAATTTTAACAGATGTCCCGAATGACTAAACTAATTAATAGTTTCACTCATACAAAAACAGGCAAACGATGAAATTCACTATTCACTAGTATTCAGGTTGATTGTGACATCCTAAAAAATTAAAAAAAAAAAAAAAAAAAAAAAAAAAAGTAGTGGCATCCTACAGTTCTGATCATTAATTTCAGATGGTCTCATATACTGTGGGACATCTATAGAAATGTTGCTTAGAGAGTGAGGGGGCATTGAATTGGGTGAGGGTTACATCAAAAGTTGACAGGCGGCAGAGGCATAAAAGAGCAAAAGATGCATACCTTTCTATAGAAATGTTGCTAAGAGAGTGAGGGGGCATTGAATTGGGTGAGGGTTACATCAAAAGTTGACAGGCGGCGAAGGCATAAGAAAGGAAAAAATGCATACCTTTCTTTGTGAGTTGACCATAAGGAATCTCATTTCCGTTACTGTATGTCCGATGATCCATCCACTTTGATGGGATCTGGAGCCTGCTTTCCCAAAGCTTTGCATCGTCAGTAGAAAAGTGGCCGGGAACAGAAATTGGTGAACGGTCACCATGACGAAAGAAGACATGCACCTGCATTGCGGAATGCCAACAAAGTGCTTAACTTCCAGTGCTACACGATGTCCATCATGTGTGCTGAGTAGAATGCCAAAGTACTCAGATAAGGTGGCAAGAATATGTTCATAGTATCATACTATATTCGCATGGATTCAACCACGCTTGTCCGTTAGGTGCAAGCATTCCAGCGTGCTGTGGGGTGCACAATATAAGTAGCACTGCCTGGCACTTCACGTTTGCCGCAAAAACCGCACTGTTCACATTTGCCAACCACCGCTCGCTGGAGAATATCAGAGCATATAACCTTCTTCATGTGGTATTTCAGCTCCGAGTTATGCTGTGGAGTCATGAGGTACAGAGTTTGAGAACAGATTTATTATAGCACGATGACTTCCAGCAGCTGCAGATGGATCATCACATCAATAAAATTGAATAAATCCATCGGATTACAGGCAAGCATGTGGAGACACTATTCATTCATTTTCACACAGAGAGCAGCTGCATAACAGCAAGCACACCATAATCCAACCAGAGCTGGATTCCTGGACACGCTGGATTGCAGCAGAGTGTTGTGGCCACAAAGGTTTCCACAATTTTCCAGGCTTTGGACTGCATTAGCATATCACAGTCATAGCCATCAATAATTTAACGAATAATTGATGCACTCATCAACATCCTCAGGCGAGATTTGAACGAAGGCAGTAAGGTCACAGCAAACGATGACAAGTAATTGTATTTAGGTGAAGAAAGGTCGTAGAAAATGAGGTGAGAACCAAACAGGGGTTGCACCCGAAAGTGCAGACCACAGCGAGTGACTGTGTGTGTGTATTATCATGTTCGCTGTGTGTGTGTGTGTGTGTTGTTAAAATACCCTCAATTCTCTCTCTCATTTCCTCCACAAATCATAACAAACCATTCATAACAAAAAAGTATAGATAGACAATACAATAGAAAATGCAAGGTTGGCCACGTTTGCATGGTCCAGTGCCAAGTGCCCACACACCTGTCTGCCGCCAAAGTGGCACACTTGCAATACGTCGGTGGAGGGCAAAAAGCAACTTACCTAAGACGGAGGACTCCACCAGCAAGAAAGCACCGACCCCATCCGCCGTAGGTTCGAAAAAAACTTGGAGAGCCCTCCACTTCGGCCCACAAAACTACAAAACAGCATAACACAAAAGGCTCCACTAACAATAAAGCACCAACCACACATGCCAATGGTCTTTAAAAGAAACAAGTGGACGCATCGCAGCCACGCTGCGGCCGAAGAGTGAGACGAACAGGGGGGGGAGGCTGTCGTTGTCACACTGCTTGGCTATGTCGTGTCGAATCGGCGTGAGAACATGAAATTATACACTGTCACTTTTGTTTTTTTTTTGTGTCGTCATATTCGCTATGCACTGAAAAAAAAACATGACTGTGGCAGACTGTTTCATTGGACTTTCACCGACTGATCAGGAGGTTGGAAGCAGTGTGAGGCCAGTCACGGGGTTGGAGACTTACCTGTTGGCCAGTCCGTTGCTCATCCTATCGATGGAAATCTCTCTCTCTCTCTCTCTCTCTCTCTCTCTCTCTCTCTCTCTCTCTCTCTCTCTCTCTCTCTCTCTCTCT